ACCCATGAAATACATCACCAGCTTGCATATGCCGTTGCCGAAGATGAAGTCCCTCATGAGGTTGGGGATAAGGGTGAAGGGGATGCAGACTAGGGACACCATCAGGTCGCTGACGGCCAGAGACAGCAGGAACAGGTTGGTGACGGTCCTCATGCGCCGGTTCCTGACCAGGACGGCGATGATGAGGCTGTTCCCCAGCACGCTGAGGAGGAAGATGAGGCTGTAGAGGGCGATCCGCACTGTCTGGTTGATGTCTGTGGAAGTGGGGCACAGTACGAGTTTACACGCACACAGATACCAGTTTCTACATTTATTTAAATGAATGCACAGCCCGTATGCTAAAATCCCCCATAATGTTTATAAAATAGCCACTCATATGCATTTAGGCTGTAACCACAGAGAGACCTGGAATATCTTCAGGATTTGTATTCATTTTGGGGGTTTTAGCCTCAACAACGTCGCCACTGATGCGTCTTTGGTCCCTATTTAAGTCCACAAAGTGCACAAAGATAGTTCAGTTCATTTGACATATGCGGACTCAGTGAGCAGTGACAGCATTATGTGTCACTACTCACATACAGCGGACTACATTAGCTTTGAGAAGGACCTGAGCCATATGCGTAATGCGCACTGACGCACGAAAAATGCCCAAAAGCAGTCGCTCCTACAGTACAAGCCCGAGTAGAATAAACGCGGTTTGAGCCACTAAATAAATAAATGTTAAAAAAAAAAAAAAGGAACATCGGACTTTTGAATGGAGTGGTCTAAAATTGCACAAGATGTTCCTCGGCATTTTGCTGGCGGATAAAGTCGCTGTACCTTTGGGTTCTGGCAAGATGTCTTGCTCGCTCTCGCACTCGGAAATATTCTTGATCCCAAAACTGCACAAAATCCTGTTGAGGTCCGTGGAGTTTATCAGCATGTCGTGGATTGTAAACGTCTCCATTTCGCAGTTTCTCCTATAGCCTCGAGTAGAAATCAGTCATATGAACATCAACCGGAATGCTCCTTCGAGAAAAGAAAAACGCTCCAGGGTATTTGCACGGAGAAATACTAAGCATCCATAGTGATTTTATTATTATTATCACCTTATTTTAACGAGGCAATAAAAAGTAGAGGGAATGAAGATAATAAGAGCAGGACTGCTCTCTACAGGTTCCCGTGCGCTCTCGGCGTGGCGCGCTGCGCTCCTCTGGTGCTCCACGTTTCCAACTCCTGACAGCATGTGGAAGGGTCTCGCTCTTGAAAGCTCAGCCCGCCTCTTTGGACACCCCCCCTCCTCCTTTTCTTTAAATCACCACGTGTCAAACCATGACACTGATAGAGAGAGAGGGAGAGATAAGAAGGGCTGATAGATTATAGTCCGGCTCATTTGGAGGAAAATTGAAGCCAAAACGTCAAAAAATTAAAATGCACCGAATCGCAGTCCTTCACCTGCCGTGGGCTATCCATATATCCCACGACCCCCCGCCCGAATTTCACCGTGGAACTGCAAGACTGGAGAAGCTCTTTTACCTTTTACTCTAGTTTGAGTTGTTCTGGCGGGTGGAGGAGCAGGCTGTCGTTATCGCCAGCTCCAATATTTAGAAGTCAGTCACACTGGCTATTGTTTCACTCCCTCACACAAGAAGAGACAAGTCATAATTATACTCTTGGGAGTTGTTTGATGAAATTCTTGAGAGAGAGAGAGAGAGAGAGAGAGAGAGAGAGAGAGAGAGAGCGAGCGAGAACCCTCTCGGAAAAAAAGCTGTCCACGGTTCTCAGAAACAGTTGGTGCTGTTTTGAGTGGGTTTCTGCTGGAATCTGTTATTATTTAAAGCCACTTCGACACAAAGAGATGTGAGACCCTCTGTGCCAAAAGCAGAGAACTAATAGGCTACCTCAGGTGCATCTGGCCAGATGTGAGACCACAGCTAATAACATGAAGATTTTTTTTCTATTTCACCTCCGGTTAAACAGGTGCCGTTATATCATTTGGGTCATTTTCAGTTATCCTCCAGAATCATGACCCTCGGCAGTTTATTAATGGAGCGCATTCAAAAACATCTCATGCAGAGCAGGTTTGCTTAGTCTGGACAGAGATGCTCGTTTATTACAAACTCAAACACGTGTAAATCAACTGTAGTGTGATAGTATTACATGACGTATCACTGTGTGAGAAGCTTTATATTGGCTTTATTTCATGTTTGGTAATGTATAGAAATCCTAACCAGCAAAGTTTTATTTTATTTTATTTTTGTTTTTATTGTTTTCAGTTTCAGTTTTATTCTCATTATTTTAAAAAGTGTTTGCCTTTTAATCTTAAAAAAAATTAATTTTAGAAATCTTTTGTCATCAGTGAGATTTCAGAACCTCACCCAGTGTAAACACTTTGCTCACACACAAGGCATAGTTTGTGTGAATTCCTGTTAGGGCCTCAGGGGGGTTTTCCTGTGAAGAACTGCTGACGTGATTCAGTCAAAGTCAGCTTGACAAGTCCAAACCTCAATAAGACTACATTTTAAGCCCATGATGTTTTAATGTGTCTTTTTGTTTTGTTTTGTTTTCCAGACAATTAAATAACCACAATCAAGAAGAAGAACCAATTTTCACTTATACTAGCCTTACCACTTCTCAGTAAGGCTATAATAAGTATCCATGCGAAATAGTGCTTCACACTTGATAAACACCTTAGACTTACTCAGTTATGATAACTGTGTATTTATGATACAAGTACCTGGTATACCACAGATCAATGGCATCCATGACAAAGATGCACAAAGGTCAGCCGCAGAGAGACCCTTCAGTGTGTGCAGCACAGTGTTGGAGATTTTCTATCACTCGGTTGTGATGAGCTGATTGAATAAAGTGATCAGGAAGGCTGGCTGTGATTGGCTGCAAACCAGATACTTTTGAAGCAGTAGTGAAGAGGAAGAGGAGGTGACTGGACAAACTGGATATGTTTGTATCTACGTGGCAAAAAATATTCTGCCTCATTATTATTATTATTATTATTATTATTATTATTATTATTATTATTATTATTATTATTATTATTACATTTAATCATTAGAGTTGGCGCTCTTCTAAGGTTTGTTTGTGTTTAGAAGCTCAATATCTGGATAATATCTCACATTTCTCTCTCTATACTTAAATCAATATTTTTGATAGTACAATAAAATATAAGTTTCGAGTTATCAAGCCAAAATATAGAGATATTAACTAGAAATTTTGACATTTGGATGGGAAAAAAGGAGTTTTTCAGAAACAAGCCTCCATAATGTGTTCTAAAAAGGAGAGGCGATAAAAAGAAAAAAGAAAGCAAAGGTACCCTCGGAATGATTTTCTGAGGTCGGAACTAAAGTGTGTGGTTCTTGTTTCCCCTGCAGACACGCAGCCCGTCCTCAGTTGCTAAGTAACCTCTGCAGGGGGCGGCTGCTGGATGCTGACAGTTTAGCCGCAGTGAAGCGAGCCGCTCGGCTTCAGACGCATAACTGAACGGGCTTTGACCAGAAGGAGGATGGACGAGGGCATCGAGCTGTCTCTGACCATCGCTCAGATCATCCAGCGGCTCAGAGGAAGCCATTTACACTCTCAGATAGAGAGGCAAGCCAAAGTGAGTGAGCTAGCATGTGGCTAACGACACGGTGCTTCTGCTTCTAGCTCACCTTTAGCTAAAACCACAGCATCCAGGCCACATAATGTCTAAGAATGTGAAGCATTGATTTCCCCATGTCCCCATTGTTTTCAGGAGTGTTTACACCAGCCTGACGTAAAACTGGAGTCTCTAAAAGAGGACGTCCGCAGTTTTCTCAAAACATCAGGTAGCAAGCTGCAAGAAATCTCTTCTCACAAAGTCATAATTAAGCTGTTGTCTCTTGTCTGTTTAGTGATAATAATATTATAACATATAATAATAAATTCCAATGTTTTCCAGGCTGGGAAAGAAAGCTGCAGAATGCAGTGTACAGAGAGCTGCACATGTAAGTGACATTTGGTGTAAAGCTGTCCATGCATGAAGAAGCACTGCACACACACACACACACACAGTGGGGTTGAATTTACTCAAGCATGACAGTCATTGTGTTTGGGCTTTCTCAGCCTCAAAATGATTCAAAGCTAGTTTTGTGCCATGCTT